ACAGGCTATTATCTTCCATAGTTCAATGAATTGTAGTCATTCACTGTCGTTGTCATAATAGAAAAGAGGTAGGGGCTTAAACTTTCGAAGGTAAACATCGTTAGCACATCAAATCCACGTGGTGCACGCTGGGCAACGTATACTTATTCGGCAAAAAAGTCTATCAAACCGGCAGTTGACTTCTAACTTCAAATTACTATGGCCCGACTATTTGTCATAATCGACCCCTTCACAGTACTCATCTTACCTATTTTATGCCTTTGTGTCTGTCTGTCTCTTTTACCTCTGTGAATCATTATTCTGTCTCCCATCTCGACTTTTTGTCACTTTAATGTTCCTCCTCCTCCTCTCTGTGAAGCCCCGAAGTCAGCTCCAGGGCTAATGATAACTATCAAAGCGCCTGCCATTTGATATAAACAAATATTACACAGAAGTTTTTACCATTCATCAAGCGAATGCTCGGTGCATGTTATACAGCGGCTAGTGTACCGTATGATTTCAAGACCCACAGCAGCAGTCTGTGTTAAGTAGTGCGTGAAATACGTCTTCCGAAAAAATCAAAACAGAGACGCGATTAAGATTGAAATGACGATTAAGGGGAGCCAGCCAAAAACAAATTTGTTGTGATAAATCAATGACCTTCACATGAATAATTTGAATGACAGTTGATTTAAATGCCCCCCGCATTTTCAGTCAAATACAACTGGCTAATCATAGCAAAACAATTTCATCCATGAAGTAGCAATTACGATTCGCAATAAAAACTGACCGGCGTATGAAAAAAAGTTAGATTTTTCAAAGAGAGTCGGGTAAAAAAAGCACACGATACTTCACTTCGACACAATTGGGAAATATCATAGAACCCAATGATCACCGCTGTGTTAAGCCTGAGGAAAAGTGTTTTGCATTCCAAACCTTGAACGAAAACAGAAATAATTCGAATTGGCAAAACCGACCATCATAACTTAGGAAAAAAGGGTGAATAAACAAACGGCCCTAGATAGATAGCGCCCAAGATGAAAACACTTGTTCTCAAGGCCTTTTAGCGTACCCTCGATTTCATAAATTGGCGTGTGGAATGTGCGATAGACTTACCTCCACGTGGTGCAGCCTGGGCAACGTATACTCACACGGCCAAAATTTCTACTAACCGGCAGTTGACTTCTGCCACTTCCACAGTACTCATCTTACCCTTCTATCTACCTTTATGTCGGTCTCTTTTAACTTCTTTTAATTACTCTTCTGTTCCCCCTCTCCACTTTTTACGGCTATGATGTTCCTTATCTCTGTAACTATGATAACTATCATGGGGTGTGCGATAGACTTACCCCCATGTGGTGCACCCTGGGCAACGTATACTAATACGGCAAAAAAGTCTATTAACCGGCATTTGACTCCTCACTTCAAACTACCATCACCTATGCCATATTCGACTATTTCCACAGTACTCACCTCACCTTTTCTCTACCTTTGTATCTGTCTCTGAAATACTCTTCTATCCCACCCCTCCTCTCGACTTTTATCACTTTGATGTTTCTTCCCCTCTATGAAGCTTGAAGTCAACTAAAGGGCTATTGATAACTATCAAAACGCCTCCCATTTGATATAAAATAAATGATAGCTATCATAGAGCCTGCCATTTGATACAAATAGATGAATAAATGTTGGAGCGTAAACAAAAAGAAGTATGGGAATTTAGGTGTAAAATGAAATCGATTTCGCCGCGTCATTAATGGCATCACTCTTTTCTTTAATTACAAAGGCACGCACGCACGCACACACACGCACAAAGGCTTACAGTGCCTATGTCTGTGGTGCTTTAATGAAAGAGGGATTGGAAGGCTACCTACCACAATTCCCTCTTCAACATCGACATCAAGTTCAATCTAAGTCTCCTCTAAAGAGTATCATGGATCAAATCAATAACCCTCCCCCCCCCCCACAAAATAGATTTCTTTATCATTTTTGACTACAGCTATGCATCCACTTGTACAATTGACAAACTAGGTTAATTAAAACAAAATACCAAAAGCACGGCTCTTTCAATCGAAAGGTGAATATAATTTATCGAAATAAAAATATACATGCTATGACTATGGGTGAAATTGTATATTTCTAAGGTATTTCGCCAAGTCAACTTTGACAATGAATCGGCGATTCTAATGTCTTATTGTCTGAATTCATGCAATCCTAATCACCTCGTGGATATGATCGGCATTAAATATCATGTAATTTTATTTCTGGCCAATCTGGTTTGTTGTAAGTGTGTGGAAGGGGGGGGGGAAAGGTGTGAGAGAGAGGTAGCACAAAAGATTGAATTAAATCCAAAGTAGAAGACCCAAGAAATGATCACATACAATAATAAATAAATAGACCTAAGAATAGGCACTGAAAACCGCAAATCTTTTCACCCTTCAAATTGTACTTTTACCAATCTACTAACCTCAGTCTTGTGAAAGGAACATGACACAAATTTCAACTCCAATGGACACATTCTCTTGAATGCATGCAAACAAACCACCTACCTCCCCCCCCCTCCCCCCTATAGTCATGCAAATGAGAAAAAAATCGAATGCCTCGATTGTTCGAAAGTGAACAAAAACTCACCTAGCACAGGTACTAGATGTACTCGATGTCATTTGGCCATCAGCTTCAAGAAGAGCCACGATGGAATTGTGAGTGTCTGGCTTCTCTCGACCCACCACGAAGCTAAAAGAGAAAACAAGAGTATTCTGAAATATTGAAAACCAATATTACAATCTGTGGTTGACAAAACACCAAGTTCGAATGCCCAATTTTTCAAGAGTCAAATGTCACAAAAATGAAGACAAATTGATTGCTGCTTCCTTTATGCCCTAAACTGAACAACCTCCTTTCATGAGAAAATTAAGTTAATAAAAAAATGAATTGTTTGCCTGTTTACCAATGGTGGTTTACTTAATGTAAACAGATAGGAAATATCAAAACACCGAAAGTTCCAATTGAAGGGATTGAGGAAGTAGGAACTTTAGAACCGTGAATTAATACGGACACATTTTTGCAGCCATCTACTACAGGATGTCAATCAATGTTGATGCAATGCGAGGTGAAAAGCACTCGTGATTGTGAACGAAATTTACCTATGCAATGGACGAAAGAATGAGGCGATGTGTGCAGACAAAATGAAAGCGGCTTACCGCACAGTTCCTGCTGTGTTTCGAAGGACAGTCGCAGCAAAATTCTGCGATACCCCAACCAAATTTTGACCGTCCACTTCAACCAACTGGTCGTAAACACGCATTCTATAAATGAAATAAAACAAGGGAGAATAAATTATCCACATAGTGATTTGTACTCTCAAGGGAGACATATTCTATTAATTAGACATAAGATTCAAGCCACAGCTGCTATATGACTTCAAAGTTGCACCGAATTTCTTAATGTGTAAAAACCCCTGAATTGGACAAGTCACTGTTTTAGGATGGCAAGTATCGACCTTATAAGTGAAAAAAAAGCTAACAAGTCGAACATTGTTTCTCCATTTTATCAGCACGTATTGTCCACCAATGACATCCTCTCGACACCGAAGCAGTTAAAACCCCAGAGAGCTTGACACATATCACCAACTGAAGTAAATTCGCAGGCTAGCAGCAGCGGCATGCGTGAGTCAAATAGAAGCAGGTATATGAGTTTGCTGTGTGTGACTAGGGCAATGAGTCACCTCAAGTAGTAGAAGCGTGTCTTGGCAGACAAAACGCTGGCTAAGAACACACGCACACACACACACACACGCACGCACACATGCGCACACTTGGCAGATGTGGACAATGTGCAACACGAAGAGAATGAAAGTTAAGCGAGACGGCGAGAAATTTTTCACGCGCGTCTGAGAGTGTGGACAGGTAGAGGGAGAGGGTAGAGACGGTTGGAAAAGCGCATCGACATGAAAGTTAAAAGGACAAAAAATACGCAATCTGAGAAGCCCACCTCATTGGCCAGAAAATTGTTAGCCCCCCAATCCGATTGAGAGTGATCCACATTTGACAGGCATATTTAAGATTAAATGCCTTAAAAGAAGAAATATTGACGCTTGGAAAAGGACAATTGGATGCTGAATGGAGAACAATTCCAACTTATTGTGCTTCGAGCTCGAGGCTAATAAATTCGTAAAGCTTGCTCGAGTTAATTTGGAAGAGAAATGCTCTAATTCAGAAAAAGAAAGCAATAGATCTCGTCTGCTAGAATAATCAAATTGGAAAAAAGAATACAACGAGAAATTCTTTATTTCACATTTTTGAGATTCTTTCTAACTTCGACAGGCGGAAGGGGATCGGAGAGGGGAGGGGAGGGGAGGGGGGGGGGGGGGGGGGGGGGGGGGGGGGTGGTTTAGCATCTATCTACGCGAAACTCGTTTTTCCAGAAGGAGCAAATCTTCACCTCTCAACAAACACCAACAAGAACAATTTTTCATCGAAAGCAAAACCCGAAGATTTTATACCTGAAAGACCTTAAAGACTAATTACAGTAAATAGAAAAAAAATTTTGCTCAACTCTCATTCCTGTAATTGAGGTAACCCTGTTAAACGCCCGAGGCGGAAATGAAACAAATTTTCTCAATGTATGATGATGATGATGATTATAGGCTTTGGATAAAGTGGAATATTTTCCCCCAATAAAAAGAAAATTAATTAAACAACAACAACAACAACTTTGCGCAATTGTTTAAATGGGCCAAAATCGTGCGACGTTGCTGGACATAAAAGGGGAAGCAAGTGGAGGGGGTTGTACCTAATTTCTGCGCATATATATCACTCGATTAGAGATTTTGTCGCGTTCTTTTGGCGGTCAACCGTGCTACACCAACCAGATGGCACCCCCCACCACCACCACCTCAACAGCCAGAAAAATTAAAGCAATGAGAATTAGGTGCCTTAAACAGAATCAACTTTACTTATAAGCACCTAATCTGGAAGGCAAATTAAAAAAAAACAAAACTTTCAAGTTAATATAAATAAATAAATTTACCTTCCATCGACATCTGCAGCACCGCCTGGAGTGATTGCCTTCACGAAGATGCCCAATTTCTCGATTCCGTTGACAAAAGTCATTCCCATCCCTAGTATACTGATACCAAGTCCATTGGTACCTGCAAAGAGATGAGAAACATCCACTTCACAGCCAACTCTCAATTCGCCCGCATTGAAGTTAACGATATAATAATATTTCCGCGATTGTATAGTGGCGAGTATCTCCGCCTGTCACGTAGAAGACCCGGGAAGAGGAGCCAGGGGTGTGCGATAGACTTACCTCCACGTGGTGAACCCTGGGCAACGTATACTCATACGGCAAAATAGTCTATTAACTGGCAGTTGACTTCTGACTTCAAACTACCACGACCCCCCTGGTTGTCATATTCGACCCTTTCCACAGTACTCACCTTACCTTTTTCCCTACCTTTGTGTCTGTCTGCCTCTTTTACATCTGTGAATCACTCTTCTGCCCCCCCACCCCTCGACTTTCTGCTACTTTGATTAACCTCCCCTCAGTGAAGCCCGAAGTCAGCTAAATGGATAATGATATCTATCAAAACGCCTGCCATTTGGAATAAATAATAAATAATATGTAGGCACAATCGACACCAAAGTGTCTAGGCTTTTGTAGGCATGAAATAATCATGTTTAAACAACTTAAAACAACTGTGTCCTATGAAAACAATGATAATACCATTAATAGATGTCTATAAAGATGGCAATTACTCAGTTATTTATCCACTCAAAAACACTTTACCCCCCCCCCCCACCATCAAGACAGTACAGTTTAGTATCATACCACGGATGTAAAAGCCGCCAGCCATGTGATAGGAGCAGATCTACTGATTTTATAATAATTAGCCAACAAATAAGAGGTGAGCTTCCTAAACTCCCCTCAAAGCACCTATGATGATTGATAAGCCCGATATGGAGACAAGGGAGGATTGGTTCAAAGGTTTCTGTATCATCAACCAAATTCACCACTAGATCGATTTCATAATTAATTAAAAAAGATTGCTAAGTTATTGCGTAGAAAAAAAGTCGCCTTTGAAATAGATAGTTGACCGAGGTGATGCGGAAAGCCGCTACAAACTGGTGAACCCACGTGTTGAAAAAAACGCGCAAATCTCAATACAAGATTACCTTTATTGAGTTCGACTTCAATGAGATCTAGATCTTCAAGGCGTTTCTCCAATTCATATTCAGCGGAAGCCACCAAGGGATCAATAGCCTCATTTCTCCGTCGATACGCCGTTACCGAGTGAGTGCTAAATACCTACAACAACAATTAAGCAAGTAGGATCAATTATAGAAGCAGCGAAAACCCCATCAACCCACTTTACTACTAAAAGAGATCCCCTCTCTTCTCCCCTCCCCTCTCCCCAACCCCAACCCACAAATTCTTGCCACTTTCCCTCATTGCAACTAACTAATGACTTTGCAGGCGAGAAAAGGAGACGTGAACCTACAACTCCGCAGATACTGCAGTACTTTTTCTGCTACAACAAATCTCGCACGAGACTTCAGACAGGATAGTATAAGAAGGTGCGTAGAGTAGAAAATAAAGCTTCCATGTTTTACTTCCCGACTTGTAGCAACGAGGCAAGTGGAGCAAACTTGGAAAGAACAAAAAACCTATGCAAATGATAACCAAGTGAGGTACAAGAGGGAAATAGAGCAGATGGTTGGAAACTTGCCCGCCAATAATATTACCACCTCATTAATGCCCAAGGTCGCGTGCGGCATTTACAACAACTCATAATCGCGAGAAAGTGTTCGAATACAGTGACGCAAGCACCTGGAGGGGGGGGGGGAGTGGAGGGATCAAAGGTTTGTAAAAAGAGAGAAACATGCGATCGTTTCAATTTCCTCTTTCGAAAGAGTGAATGCACAAATTGAATTTCATGTAACAACATTCAGATTAGAAGATGGATCATGTCAATAATATTACAAAGTGAGGGGTGTGCGATGGACTTACCTCCACGTGGGGCACTCTGGGCAACGCATACTCCCATACGGCAAAAAAGTCTACTAACCGACAGTTGACTTCACACTTCACGCTACCATAATCCCACTGGATGTCAAATTCGACCACTTCAACAGTACTCATCTTACCTTTTCTCTGCCTTTGTGTCTGTCTGTCTGTCTCTCTTACATCTGTGAATCACTCTTCTGCTCCCCCTCTAGAATTTTTCTCACTTTGATGTTCCCCCTCCCCTCTGTGAAGCCCGAAGTCAACTAAAGGGCTAATGGTAACTATCAAAACGCCTGCCATTTGAAAT